CTCTAAAAACTTCCAAGATTTTACATTTTAAAGTGTCAGCTTGATTTGAAATCTTTGGTGTTTCAAATAAATTCTGAACTTGGCAATCTACAAGAGTCTTATCTTCCTCTTATTCATGGATAACTAAGCAATATGTTAAAGTTCAAAAAATTCTCAGACAGAAGTGATTTCTAGCTTGTCAATGCAAGTTGCTATGGCAACAGCCACAGTGACTGTGAAGGCTCTAACCTTATTTAATTAAACAGGAAAACATCACAAAATATTATAATGTAAAACTCAGTACTGCAAGTCCTCATCATAAAAGAAATCGAAGGACTACATCCTCTACCCCATTTAATAATATCTGGGCTGGCAAAAAACCCTTCAGTTTATTGTGAAACCTTTTGTCATTATATTTTCAAAATGCTGTGACTCTGGTTTTCTTGTGATTTTAGTATGCTTTGGCTCACAGACAGGTAAGAGACTGAAAACAACTTTTTAGTATCTAATGATAATGGGTGTTATGTATGGGGAGTAGTGGCAGCAAACTGGACTATAAAATACAGGAGGGAAACAGGTAGAGGAGAAAAAGATGGATTCTACCAGAACAACCTAAAAATAGATTCACTTCAAATGAAGAATGTACAGTTCAAAGTATCGACAAAACAAACAGCTCCATCTAGAGGGTACAGCTCAAAGGATATTAAAGCAAGTAAAAGCTTCTCAAGACTGCTTAAAAATAACCTATCCAACAGCCTGCTCAATCTCCCAATTAACATAAAAAGTAGTTTCAAAAAACATTATGTAAAGTTCACCTGATCTTTGAGAATCTAGAAGTTTCTTCATTAAGAACAAACTGAAGACAAATATTGAAAATACCTAAAACCAAAACCTACTCATTCATACCTTTACTTCCCAATCAGTGAAATTCACACTGAAACCATAGCCTCAGTGAAGACAGAAAAGTTTGCCAGTTTTCCTTGTGATCAAGATGTCATTAGCTAACTTGACAAAGAAGTCAGCCTCCCAACCCCACTTCAAAAGCCCTTTATACCCATGTTCAACACTGAGCAAGTAGTTCCATAGGAACATCACCTCCTGCATATGTAGCACTTCAAGTCCCAATCCTTCCTACTCGCCCCTCATTTTCCACTTATTTTTGCAGCAGTTAGCCCCTGTTAAGTTGTTACATGCTCCAGAGGAAACAATTTTGCAAGTCATCTTTCCAAGTAATTCACCATGATCATATTTTGTGTCTGCAGGGCAACAATTACTTCCATGTTTTAGGACAAAACCCAGGTTTCAGCACATAAGAGAAACTAAACCAGGCTCAGTTATTTTACCTGTCAGGCTGGTGCCCTCATTAGCAAATAATCCTGTGCTGGATCTGCAGCAGTAGATACATAAGCTTCTGTCTGCCTTCTTACACCTAATCCCTCAGTTCTAACACAATAAAGTTGTGCTTCACTACCCCCAGACTCCCCAAAGATCGTTATTTGACTGACTAGTTTTCAGAATACATCTTTGCTAACATACTCTCAGTTCCCCAGATAACTTTACATGTGGATGGATAGTTACACCTCCCAACTCTCCTGCTTCCAATCTTACTATCTCCACTTCATACTGGTTCTGGCCACTGTTCATCTCAACTCTACACATGCATTACAATAATGCTGCAAATAGAGCACAAGGACTATCCTCATAGTTCCTTCCAGATTATATTTTACCTGGCAGTCTGCATAAAAAAACAACGCATAAAGGCATTGCTTCTGGGGCCTATACTGGACACTCCCTAGCTGTGCCTCACAAAACAAGTGGGGATACAAGGCAGAACACAGACTCAGAACATCAGGCACCAAGGACTGCACCTAGAAAACCACTGCCTTGGGGGTCTGCTGCACTACTGCTCCACAACAAAGGCACACTTTGTTCTGACTCACTCCATGCTTCTGGTCATGTCAATGGCCTCTCCATGTTTTTCCCACTTCTTTTACACTTACCCTATCTTCATTCTCTTCAAACCCTTAGCCATCACCCCTCCCTCCCATTATGCTTTTGCTGTTCACCTGTTCTAGAACTGTACTTTCTTATGGCACCCCTCTTCTCCTTGATTCTTCTTAGCCTCATTGGAAGACAAACATTTATTATGGTAGTCCAAAACACCTCTTCCATCTTCCCCCAGGAAAACACTAACAAGCCACAACCAGTGAAACTGAGAAATCTTTTTATTACCAGTAAAAAGTGACCTTTTTAAGAGCCCAAGTGCTGTACCTGTGAAAACCACACTAATCAGTGCTGTAAGTTTAACTTGGAAACTTACACAAGCCTGAAAATACTTACCAAAAGACACTACACAAACTGTTTTAGAAAGATTTCTACAAGGTAACCCATGGTTATAACATTTACCAGAAATCTTTCTTGAAATAACATACAACTCTGGAAAGTGCTCAATTTCTTCAAACATGTAGATCTCAAAACTTTATACAGTCTCTTCTAATTTTTAAATATCTAGCAAAGACAAACCAGAGCTCGCATAGCAACTTGGTGCCAGTTCCCTCCTGATTGTTTATCAGTTTCAATACAAATGTATGTCTACAATTACTGCTTTATACTAGTTGGTCACTGCAGAAGCATGTCTCATGTTCTTTTTAAAGATAATACTTTCAATAACCCTTGAACACTATTATATATTTCTGGAAAGCATGACCAAGCACTACAAAAACATGCTGTAAACCCTGCAAAAAAAATCAGGAAAAAACCATGGGTTTATGTCCAAATTACAGGGAGAAGTAAGGACCTTTCAAAATAGCTGTTCATATATAACAGCTTTAGTTTTACATGCAAGTTCACTAATTTAACAGCAAAAATAAGCTCAATACCTTTTCTATTTATCAGAGCACACACACAGATCAAGGAGTGAACTGTTTCTCCTTCAGCACCTGTCCCGGTTCAGCTAGGATAGGGTTAAGTTTCCCCAGCAGAGAGGGGGAAGGGATCTCCAGCCGGGTTACTCCTACCATGCTGATGTCAGGTCCCACATGGCAGCCCAGGAAGCTTTTTCCTTTGTGGCTTTGGTAGCAGGGAGCACACAAGCAAGCTGTCTGTAACCATTGCGGTATTTCTCTGTATATCTTTTGTCTTGTTTACTGTTACTACTGTTTATTGTTTATGATTGCTACTGTTGTTCAGATTGCTTATTACACTGTTGTAGTAAATTTCTTCTTATTTTAACCCTAGGGTTTGTGCCCTACTTGTGTCCAAGGGTAGGGGAGGGACAATGGCATTGTGGTCTCCGGTCCTGGTAGGGCCTAAACCATCACAGCACCCTACTCTAGAACCTCCAATTTAATAATCCGTATCTCAACACATACTTCACAATTGCACTTCAACATCATTTCCACATCAGACAAAATTGATTTGCAGCATGAAATGAAGCAGCAGCAACTCAATACAACCTTTCTACTTACTCTGAATATCAAGCACAATGTGTATAAAAAACATCAATATTTATTTATTACAGCTTGCTGACCCATGTAAAATAGTATAACTATGATGAATAAAAACTGATTCCTTTTTGGAATAGTCTGTATACCAACACATCTGTGAGAACGAGCTTTGTCTCATTAGTCTAACTTTGTAGATCTACTGCCAGATCCCGTTACACAGAAGCTTTCTAGTGTGGGGTTAAGCATGGTTTCCTTTAAATCTCATGACAGACATAAGAGGAAAGGGAAAAGGATGGATGGAAACACTGTTTTCTGCAGCAATCCTACTTCATGCAGATAGCAGAAATGGCAGGAACTACACTGTGCTTTCACTTAAACCTGCTTAACAATACTAAATCATCTGACTAGCAATTTTTAAATTAAGAAGCATTCCAATAAATAGAAACCAAATACTGATTTATCACATTCATTTTTGCTGTTCTAAATTATAGTACTGGAGAGATGACACCAAGATAAATCTACAAAATATTCAGCTCTGCCTATGAAAAAAGGTCTTGCCCAAAATAAGTACAAACTTGACCCAAGAAAACAATTGATATTTCTCTTGCCTTTAAGTGTTCTGCAGCCCAAAACAGACAACCTAATGTGAAGCCCAGAACCAAAGAAAATGACTGTAATTACTTCTGCCACATTAGAGAACCATACACAAATCTCTTCACCATAAGGTGTAATGATATTTTCTCTGCAGAAAACCAACGTAACTTTATCCAAGTTCAGTTTTGAAGCAATTCCTGTATCAGAAAGTGCTGACAGAACTTGGACCAGTAATTGCCCATCCATAATAAAGCCTACAATGAAATGTTTTATCATCAGTCACTTTTCCTTAAGAGAACAAACCACCAAAGGATTTTTAAAAACTCTCAATCTCCCTACATACACTTGCAAAAAACGATGATTGGAAGCAACTGAATTGGGCTTTGTGATTTTTCCAGGCATCATTTCCTCAGAGTGATAGCTTTAAGCTTTGGGAAATTGGCAATTGAATAAAGAATATTAGTACCCATTCTTTTAAAGACACCAAGGTATTTCAAAACTTACAGACGGTAAAGACCACAGGCCCTCCAGGCCCTCGCTGAAATGTCTGCTCATGTATTAATTGTTTTAAATAGAGAAAAAAAATTTAAACCCTATCCTTTAAATTGTTTCAAGTACCAGCTAAGCAAGCATTTAAGAAGTTCCTCAGTCTATTTAACAGAGAAATTCTGAAGAAATAAAAAACAAATCTTTGTGCACAGGTATGAATAAAGGCTTTTTCTGTTTCACAAGGTAAGACTTGCTGGGGAAATAGACTGACAAACTCTGTGGCACTAGGAATTCAAACTCACTGATGCTACACTATTTTTAAAAACTTTAAGACTTTTTTACATTCTAAAAAACACATCTCCTCAAAGCTGATTATTGAAAGTACTGTTACATTACTGACACATGAATGTACTTGTCAATTTGTATTAAACACACTTCTGTAAACAACTTCAGTAAGATTAAGAAAAAAAAAAACAACACAGAAATACTTACATTGCATTTACTTTATCTTCTGGGCCCTGAACCTGGCCCGTTACAGTTCCTTGACTGGTATTTTTAACCCAGCCAACCACTCCTAATTTCCTAGCTTCTTCTTCTGTGTACTGATATGAAAAACAATGAAAGAGGACAGTCAGTGTCAGAACATACACTACATGTACACCACTTAAAACCTCACTTTCACCTTCATGGCTTTAAGACCTACACCTAAGAAAAAAATACATGGATGATGCTCATACCCAGGTGTTAATGTCAACATGACATACTCATGTCAACTCCAAAGTTGCAGCAGGGGCAGCCAAGTTTTGCACAAGAAAGGGATTTCACATATAGTTAATAAATGCATGATTTAATTCCCTCCTCTGTTTTCACATTTTTTAATACTTTCCTTCAAAAAAACTAAACCTACAGTGGCTCCCACTGAAGACATCACACTGCTCAAAAACAAAGTTATCTTCCTCTTGCCTTGCTCTACGTACATGCATAGAAACCTTCTGATGGTGTGAGGTTTTTTTATCTCACAGTGAGGCCAGAGTGGCTTCACTTACTTCAGGAACTTCTAACAGTTTTGATCACAAAGGACTGTACTAATCCCACACAACTCCCTTGTACCTACTCTGTACCTTTCTATAGCTCCTATCACCCTTTATCTGCCTCTTCTATGACCACAGTGACTGAACTCATGTAGGAGCTTCATAGTTCTCTACAATTTCTTTTTAACACCTTTCCACCCGACTTTCACCCCAGCTGCTGCATGACTATTAACAAATAGTAGCAAAGGTCATAATATATAACGGTTTTCTGATTTCTGCAATACCCTAATAAATTACTGCTTCCCAGCTATTCAATTCTTGTTATAAAATGTGTAATTTGCAAGTACCCTGCTTTATGAGCAGTTTGCATTTTGTTCTTAAATCCTCTAATTCTTTCATACACATATGAAATATATGCCTGGTTTCCATAATTTGTCTCTGAACACTGGAAGGTAACACAAAAAGCCTGTTCTGCAGAAATGCATTAAGTTTATGTTCCATGAGGAACATAAAAACAGTGTTAGCCAAAACTCAGTAGTTCATTTTACTAACACCAAATTTATTTACATTAAAGGTATCTCCTGTTTTGATTCTTCCACTTTCAGAAGTACAAGAGCACACAACTTATTGTTTTCTTCTGTATTACAGAACAGACTGATGGCTCTAACAATAAGATCTGGGAGTTTTCACTACATTTTGATGGGAAATAATCACCAAACACATTAGAGTATGTACAGTAATACCCAGAGCAGTACACAGATATGAAGGGGGCACACTGCATGTTCAGGCTCTTCAGACACTTATTGTAAAGCCAACAGCTGAACTTCAGGTTAGTATGAATAACATTCCAGTAGGCAAAACAAATTTTGGGGTAATTTAGCCAAAGAAAAGCTGTTGCTAACTATGAAGAGTATTTCACAAGATGATTGTAAGCAGCTTCTCCTACTAACATGTCCAACAGCATGGGAGTGTAGCTGACAACCCATTTCTCAACACTGGTTGATTAGCTCAGAACTAGCACCGTGGTGTGTCTTCACACAGCTCCAGGTCAGCTCAGAACAAGGCAAGCCAGCTTGTACCTGCCCACCACATCACACACGGACACAGGCTTCCCACTTAACAGAGTACTTAACTTCAAGACATAATATATTGTAACCCACTACCCATTTCCATTTTGCACTCACAACACATACAAACTACACTTAAAAGCTTTTAGGTCTAATAGTAAGCACGGTCCACTACTTAAAAAACCCCACCTGCTTTATTTGAAAAGTGCCCTCTTGTTTCTTGGGTTTCTGTGAAATGCAATGCTACCTGCTGCATGTTCAGAGCTGGTGGAGATACTTGGCTGGGATATGAGCTACACATTGCAGGTTTGTAGAACATTGTCACAAGGAAATCCAATAAGCTTCTTTAAATACTTGTACTATAATTACCATTAAAAAAAAATATCTAACTGGAACACATTGTTTTAGAAGCCAGTATCAAGAACTGCAGAGCTAACATGTCTAAAGTTATCATAGTTCTCTTGTGGCTGTTTTATCACAAGTAATACAAAACCACAGTTTTTAGATACTGTACAAACAAGCAACACATTACTAAGCTTTTAAAAATACATGTCAGTGGAACAATAATATAAGCCAAATACTTTTTCCTTTTAAATCCACTTGTAATATTCAACCATCTAACCTATAACTCCAAGTTCAGGCCAGCTATGTTTATGCCCCTCAGACCAGCTACCATATTTTTAGCACTGGAAATACTATACTTGTAACGTAGAACTGGTAAATCAGACATTGCCTTACCATCCTGAAACAAACACCTAGAAAAGAAAGAAATAAGACTTTTAAATGATTTGAAAGAATACTACTTCCAGCAATTTCACTCAATATCAAGTCACAGTAAGCTCTATGCAAGTAATCTGTGGTCTTTTTCAGAAATTTCACAGAGCAGTTATGGAACTTGAACACTGGGAAAACTATAGAATTCGGGTACAAGCTGCCCTTGAGCCTTCCCTTCGGCAAACCATTATTCTCATTAACGCGAGGAGCTCTCGCTAATGAAGATGCTGCACTATGGGAATTGCCTTTGACTGAATTTTCACAGTCCCGCTGCCAACCCGGGGAAGGGGGAGGCGGGAGTTCCCACAGAACCGCGCTGACAGCAGACGCGACCACAACCGCCGGGCACGTCAAGTGCTTCTGACAGAACCGCCCGCGCAGCTCAGGGAACGCGGCGACCCGACAGCGGGGGCTTAACCCCAACCTTGCTCCCCCCTGCCCCAGCCGCTGGGGACGCGGAGGCGCGGCCGCCCCCCC